TTCCAAGCTGCCCGACGCGGGGCCTTGTTGCTGCAAAAGGACGACCAAATCGTCAGCGCTGAGTTGCCGTGCTGCCTCAGCTACAGCAACGCTCAAGTTTGCTGCTTTCCTTGCGCCAATGGTTGCAGGTCCACCTGCATCAACCGGCTTCGCCGCTTCTTGAGCGCTTTCTCCTGGTTTGCCAGCTCGCGGTTTTCTGCACGCTTCGNNTCGACGGAGATCTGCCAACTCATCTGCAAGAACCTCCATTCTGGAATGCGCAAGCTACAGCATGTCACAGCGACTACACACAGACACAGACATATGGGTCAGAAAGACTCACCTGGGCGCCACGACGAGCACGATTCCTCTTCGGCGCCATAAGTATCCGCAGCTTTTTCTATACTTCTGGCACTAACACAAGTCAGTAGCACTGCTTGAAACAAAGGCTGCAAGAAGTCAGGAAACTGATCACAGATCCTTTGTTGCGACTCTCTCGACATGTCCCATCCTGTGTTCACTGCAATCTCCTGCTTCAGAAGCGTGAACTCCGCTTTTTTTGTCACACAGACACTTGGCTGTCAGCCTGACTCGTCGAACTGCAGCTCGCGCTTGGGTCCAGGCGAAGCCACCCACCTGCGCTTTCGCTGATCAGAGCGTGAGTCGGCAACATCACTCTCAGCAGCGCTTGCTGGCTCAATGTAGGCCGGCTCGTCTAGGCGTAGCAGTTGGACATTCTGACGATTGCACAGCCAATGATCGGTGTGGAGTTCTTCCAGGTTCTGGGCCGACAAATCGAAAGTTGCGATGACTGCCCGTCCACAGAAAGAATAGGAATAGGAAAAAACGTTCGTGGCAGATCTCGCTCCTTTTACAATCTTTGGGCGACCTTGCAGGGCTTCCCGGTTCCTTTTCAGGAACATGGCATCTCCGATGCCGTCAAGCAGAACCCCGGCATGCACACGGCGGTCAAAATCTGCAAGGTCCATGTTCTCAGAATCCTCTACTGTCACCTCGAGGAAGTCCTTCAAACCCAACTTGTTTGCCACCCGCTTCAAGGTGTGGGCAGCCAGCATGGATTTACCCAAGCGCGTGCCGCCCACGATTGCAAGTATGGGACGGCGGAAGCGAGGCTGTCCGTCGTGGCAAGCCACGAACTCCTGGCGGAGGCGTTACATCAACAGAAACTGCGACGGTGGGTGTCCAACTTAAATCCTGCAATCTAGCAAGCTCAAGCCCCACCTCGACTGGTCCGAACGTCTTCATGGGCAACATCGCGGACTCTAGCGCCTTGGACTCTGCCTGCACGGCGTCTCGAATAGCCTGGTCGTGAAGATAACGCTCTGCAGCCTTGCAGTCTCCCAATCGTTTTTGGAATCCGACTGTCACCTGCGCAGCCACCCGAAGATACGTCTGCCGCGTCAACTTTCCAGCCTTGAGAAGGTTGTCCAACCACCATCCCTCCACCCCATAGGCTTTGAAGGGCGGGAAATCTGTAGAGTTGAACCTGAGCTGCGACAAAGGCAGGTTTTGAAGCCTTCCGAGGCCTGCTTGCACAAATCAGCTTCTAACAGACACATCCGAAGCCAAAATTCGAGGCCATCTTCTGCCGGTGAGAGTCTCTTCGAGGCCGGTGTTTTACACAAATCCCCTTTTCAGAGAGACACATTCGTAGCTGGGAAGCCTTTCGAGGCTTGTCAGAGGCCGTTGCTTTACACAAATCCTCTTTTAAGAGACACATTCGTTCGAAGCCTACATACGAGGCCGTCCAAGGCCGTCCACGCCGGATTCCCTCGATTTGGAAGCCTTTCGAGGCCTCTCCGAGGCCGGTGTTTCACATGAATCCCCTTATAAGAGACACATTCGAAGCCTACATTCGAGGCCATCCGAGGCCGGATTTCCTCGGTTCCGAGGCCTTTCGAGGCTTCTCCGAGGCCGGCTTTTGACACAAATCCCCTTATAACAGACACATCCGAGGCCTCAGGGGCTACATTCGAGGCCATCCGAGGCCGG